CCTAAGAGCCTCGTTGGTTTAGTGGTCGTAAACACGATTCCTGGTCCCGGGTTAGAATCCCGGTCCCAGGTCGGACCAAAATCTGTTATTAGGTTTTTCAGTCAAGAAAATTTCAGTAACAGCCCTGGGTCAGGAACTTGGCAGTATTTTATCCCGCGTGCCTCAGAAAGTACGTAAAACCACTGGTGCGGCGACTGATCTCTCTCCGGTCGAGTCGAATTACCGTCCTATCGGACTGAGAGTGATAGAAAAGAGAATGCGCCTGTGCTTGCGCATATGAGTAGTCTCCATTGATACTGGCCACCACGGCCCAAATTCGGCTTGGAGAACATTATTATTGTAAAAGTTGGGACTATGAAATTCCGTATAAAATTTTCTAAAGTCGATCTCAGTTTCGGTATAATTAAAACGAATATCATTTGGCATTTCTAGAGTCGATCGCACGAGTCTTTCGTCGCTTTCATTCTGAGGTCGGTCATAATGAAATAGCGGGATTATCGGTGGATTAATCAATCGCCAGATTCACGAAGTGCTCACGGTGGGCACCGGTCTATCGCAATCCGGCTATCGACGCCTGCCGTGAAATATGTCTCTTTGGGTACTGATAAACAAACACAGCTACGTGGTAGAGCCACGCTGCAGCTATTATGATTGTAGCACGGATGGGTCGGCTCGACCAGGGAAGGACCAAGTTCTTATAGAACACCAATGTCAAATGTTTCGAATGGTGAGCGTAGAAAATCGAAGATCTTTATTACTTGAAATCAGGCATTTTATTTTAGTCCTCAAGGGTTAAAACGCGTCTACATTTCGATTCTTAATTAAGGATGGGTGTAGGAGCCTATGGGGACACACACAGATTCCACTTACCATCAGGTGGAATGTGTGCTCGTACGTGACTCTTATTCTATTAAAAAAAACACTATTGGACTTGGCTTTGGCGCCACCGACATCCTTTTCATTGAAAAATGTTGATATTGATAGTACTGTATGATCTTTGATATATACATAAGATATAGATATATATATATATGAACAAATTGACAAAAATCGTGTCACAAAATTACACACTTATTTTAGCCAAAGAGTATGTAACAAGTTTGTAGTATGGAACAAGCTGCAATCAAAAATGATAATATTATCACAAACTTTAAACCAATTTTAGAACAGATTGGATAAAGAAATAAAATAAGAGAGAGAGAGAGAGAGAGAGAAAGAGACTTACGTGATTTAACTAATTGTTCTTCCATTAAAATGTTTATGGTTTAAGTTGCCTGGATATACCTGTTACATTTGGATTTATTAAACTATTTTTGTATAACGTAACACTGTAGAGAATGCCTGCGGAATTTCTGTAGCTGTTTCTTCTCCAATCAAATTTTAAAGATTTAAAAAGATACTTTTGACCAAACGTTTTACGTAGAAAAGTAACGGTTATGGGACACAGAATACCAAAGTAAATTAGCAGCATAATGATGATGTGTTTCGTATGAGTTCTTTTATAGAATATGGTTGACAAACGAGCACACAGTCCACCTGATGGTAAATGGATGCTGCAGCCCCTAGACATTTACATCTATCTTCAGTTAAGAATCGAAATGCAGATGCGTTGTCACACTTAAGGACTAAGATGGAATATCTCAATTACTTACTAGTAAATATATTCTTTATATCTTGCTTGGGAAATCAAATTAAATGTTCCTTTGAATAATTTCGGAAATGGTCGCTAATATCTGGCACACTACCAACGTGACTTTATCACGTACACGAAATTTGTCTCCTCTTAGAGAACAAGCATACTACGTCAAGGCATGTACTACAATTCATATGTTTTCCACTTCCTGGCATCACACTACAGAGCGCAGACTGTAGCTACAACTATTTAAGTAAGGTGGTTGAGGCTCACAAAAAATGTACTTCGTCTATATTTTTCACGTGCCGAAATTCAAGAATATATAATATATTTTTTGGTAGTTCTTTGTAAATAATCTGATTATTTTCTGTATTGGGCATTATTCGCTTGTTAATATTATTCCATTTAAATTGTGAATACTTTTTAATATAAGCAAAAACAAACTGGTACAAAAAGTTGGTGAGATGTAATTTCATAGAAAAATAAAATGTGTCCATGCGTAGTACATTTTCTTTTTCTTCATTACTTCATCGTTTGAATAAAGTATCGTGATTTCTTAATGTTATGCTAAATGTAATTGCATAAAACTACTGTTCTAATAATAAGTGTAATAAAACTAGTAAAAAAAATAATTAAAAAAACGATTGAATAAACAAATGTGTTCCATCTGATTCACGTGTGTTACAAAAACTGTGTTACATAGCAGCTTTTTTGATAGAAGCAATAGCAACACGTCATCTATTTTTTTCACAATGGCAACACTATAACTTTCAATATGAAACGTCAGTGTTTTGTCAGACATCTTGGTTTACGGGCAGTAGGCAGTACTTGGTGTGTGTTATTTTTCGTCATTGGATTTTAGAGACTTTTGGAAATAATTTTGCAAGGTAAGTAATAACATTAAGTTGTTTTGTAATATATATAGTTGAAAGAGACATTAAATATTCCTAAATAATGCAGTTTATTACGGATTTGCTTTGCAAGTAAAGATGCTACCTGAATTTTAGGTTATGTTCTTCACGAGTGTTTGCTCACGTGTGTTGCGTGTGTTACAAAGTTGTGTGACGTAACACACGTGAAAAGTATAAAGCTTAGTTCACATTGCAATACTTAGGTATAGAAAAAGCTAAATATTTATGTTTTGTGTCAAGAAAAAGGAGGTTCTCAATTCAACTGATATTTTTTATTTTCTTTTGTATGTATGTTACGCGATTCTCCAGATTCTGTAGACCAATTTCAAAAATACTTTTTGGTGAATAGAGAATGCCTTCAGGCTGGTCCCATAATAATTTGTTGTTTAAAGTAGGCTATTTTTGGGTTTTAAACCAGAAAAAAGTTTACTTAATATACAACAAAAAAGTAAAATGTAACTGCATTCATGGTTTTTATTTTTATTTTATGTTGATTTTACAGATGCCTCTAACACCTAAAGAAAGGCAGAAACTTTATCGAGAACGGCTGAAAGAAGTAAATCCTGAAAAATTTAAATTGCAGCAAAAACAAAATGCAGAAAGAACAAAAAGAAATAGAAAAAGAATAGCAGAATATCCTTTATCTGATCAAGAAATCATTAGAAAGCAGTGGAGAGAGAGAAAGAAGAAAAGTAAGAAAGAACCTAAGCCTGAAGTAGTGCCTTTAGAACGACAAATTTTAACACAGAAGAGAAATTATAATAGAAGGGTCATTTATAGACTGAAAAATGAAAACACAAAGCTAGAAGAGGAATTAAAAAAATATAAAAAGTCGTTGAAAAAAATTAGGCAAAGATTAAACCGTTCTATGGAAAAAAATAAAAAGTTACTTGAAATTATTGAGGAGAAAAACCAAATGATTCGTAGCTTTGAAGACAGGTCAAGCCCAATTGCCAAAAAAGATAAAGCCCTTGAACAAATGACCCCCGTTTCGAAAACGTGCGCATACATTGACCAAAATTTACCTAGTATTCGACCTGAAGAAAGAGAAAGCGTGAAAAAAGTTTTGCTAGAACATAATGTAATAGTGGGCACTATAAAAGACAGCTACAAAAGTAAAAACACTCAAGGAAAACGATTAATTAAAGATTTTTTTACCAAAAGTGATAACATTAATAAATACAGTATGAAAACTAAGATGGCTACCTATTTAGGTCTTAAAGGAAAAATTCGTCACACTAAACAGAAAAATAAAAGCTCATTAATACAGACACAGTTAAGAAACTTTTATGAAAGGGATGATGTGAGTAGGATGACAGCAGGGAAAAACGAAGTAAAGGCACAAAAAAAAAACAAAAAAACAAAGAAAGTATTTGCTTGGCACTCTACATAAATTATATCAGAAATATAGAAAAGAAGGAGGAAAATTATCATTTTCAACTTTCAAAAGGTACAGACCCTTTTATGTATTACCACCAAAAGCCGAGAAACGAGAAACTTGCGCTTGCTAGAGGCACGAAAATTTGCAAATGAAAGCCACGTCATTGAAGTCAATTGGATTAATAGCAACAACAGATCTTGATGAGTTACTGAGTATGGTTGTATGTTCTTCAAAGTCAAAGGAATGTGCTTACGGAGACTGTGATTTTTGCAAAAACAAACGTATTGATTTTTCTATGGGTGAAAAAAGATCTAAACTATAATGTTTCATGGGATGAATGGGTTTTGAAATCTCATGAATACAAACCAAAAAAAAATTGTGATGTGACGAAAATTACGAAAAAAAACGTCATAGAAAAAAAACTGGTTCGCTAAAAATGCTCCTAGATGCCTTTCAAGAAGAACTACGAAGTTTCAAAATCCATTCCTACAATATCGTGCATCAGTACAAACAATATCGGCAGTGCATAGAAAATTTAGATGACCGTACTGTCGTTCTACACGTCGATTTTTCGGAAAACTATTCTTGCAAATTAGCCACTGAAATACAAGGCATGCATTTTGATGGGTCCAGACAACAGATCAGTCTCCACACTGGGGTGTTATATACCGAAAAAGGTCATCAATCTTTTGCAAGTTTAAGTCCAAACAAAGACCACGGACCAGATGCCATTTGGGCACATCTCTTACCTGTGCTTAAGTTGGTCAAGGAGAAATTACCCAAAGTAGACGGGATTCATTTTTATTCAGATGGCCCAACTGTACAATACCGACATAAGAAAAACTTTTATTATTTCGCAAAACTGACGAAAGAGTTGGGCTTTCCATTTTCCACGTGGAACTTTTACGAAGCGTCACACGGTAAAGGAGCCGCTGATGGTGTAGGAGGAGCCATTAAAAGAAAATTAGACTCAATTGTCGCTTATGGTTCAAATGTTCCTGACGCTAAAACAGCTTATGAATTTTTACAAGCGTCTGAAACCAAAATACAGCTTTTCTTTATACCTGAAGATGCCATGCTGAACGAATCAGTAGAACTCGTACCAGTGCCAAACACGATGAAAATACATCAGATTATTAACAATGTTGACTCAGCTAACTCTATTTCCTACCGTTGTTTAAGTTGCTTCTGCGAAAAGAGTAGACCAGGTTTTTGCGACTGTCTCAATCTGAAATCTGCGGACTTGCTAAAGCAAACAGAAATGTTAAATGAAAAATCTATTCCGTCTAAAACGTCTATAACAGTATTAGCTGACATTAAAAATACTCAAGAAAACAGGTCTTATTTTAATTTGAGACAATATGGACCATTCAATTTAAAACAAATAAACCTCAAAACAGACATTGCTAGCAAAAGTTTGAAAGAAAATTCTCATGACAGAATGAAGAAATGTTCAAAGAAAAGAAAAATAAAAGACATACACCTTAAAACAAATAAGAAACTTAAAACGGAAGAGGAGAGCAGTACAGACGAAGATATGACGATTTCTTTGCATGATACTTCTGATGAAGAGTATCACATTACAGATGATATCTTATCAGATGATGATTATCTGGATCATATGGATTATCAATTGAAAGAACAGAAGAACGTTACAAATTTAAGAAAAATATCAGACACAAGTAAAATAGAGAGAGAAAAAATAGAACAATCAAGCCATGAAGATAAAAAAAAATACATACACTGGTAAAGACACAAGAGAAATAAACATTTTTTCTAATGAAAATCAGGGAGTAGTTAAAACTAATTTAGCTGAACAATCTGTGATTGCTACGACTCTGCAGGATGAAAATAACTTTGACAATGCAAAAAATGACTCGGAAGTGACATCAAAAATTAATACAGACATATGGAGGCTATCTTTCAAAGACACTGTACTTGTAAGGTATTATCAAAGTACCGCGTGGAAGTATTACATAGGATTCTTGGAAGACAGTTTTAAAAAAGAAGGAAAATCTTATTTTACCATACGATTTCTGAAAACCATTGAAAAACCGGAGCTAAAGTTTGTAATTCACAAAATACAAGATGAAGACACTGTAACTGAAGATTTAATAGTTAAGCAGGTTAAAATAACACAAAACACAAAACGATCAAAAGAATACTTTTTAGCTGATCCTAGCGATAAGGTTTATTTTGAGTAGAATATTTACAAGTAGGTAGATATAACATATATATATACCCAACACCACTACGATAATACAAGCTTGTATATATATATATATATATATATATATATATATATATATATATATATATATATATATATATATATATATATATATAAATATAAATATTCAAATAATGCCAAAATAATACGATTGTGTAATTCTAAGTACAAATTTTGATCTCTTTGTTTTTTAAGTTGTTTTATTAAATAAATAATTCTATCTATAATCGTATTTTATTTGAAATTCAATTTTTTTCTTGCTTTATGTGCATCAAGCTTAACAACATTTCCAGTGTGTTACACAATTCCAGTGTGTTATCGTGTGTTACAAGTTCTTGTGTGTTATGGTACATTTTCTGTGAGCCTCACTCAGGTAACCTATTTTTATTGACAAACACTCGTCATATTGCGGCTTTAATTTTTTTTATTCAATAATTTTACTTTTTAACCGTTTCGCGGAAGCCTCAGTCAATATAGTTATTATATTTCTAAGTTTCTAACACATTTAATGCATCTACCACATACGTCAGTAACATGTCTACGACAAACGTCGTGAGACATCGATGCGTTTATTACTAACGTTTTTTACTAACGTTTTGGTATATTATATTTGTGGTATCAGGTCTTTACCTATCAAATTGCCGTTTTTTATGAAATAAGTTAACATAGTTTTCTTCTATTAAATAAAGTAATCACCCACGTAATCGATGCATCTTTAACAACGAAGTGGCATTTTATATAATATGCCTCTCATGAAGAAATCAGCTGGACAGGAGGGAGGCAATAAATTCTTCAAAGGCATTTTGTACTACCTCTCAGGTATTGAATTTTTTTCCCGCTATAAGTGATCCAAATTCTGGAAAAAGTAGAAGTCTGCAGGCGCAAGGTCTGGTTTGTATGGAGGATGACAGAAAGCTTCCAACCCAGCTCTTGTAACTTGGGGACCGTCTGTTGTGTAGTATGATGCCGCGCGTTGTCGTGCAAGAGCAACGGGGACGAGCAATTGACCAAAGACGTGCGAGCTTCTCCGTAATTGTTTTCAGTTCTTCATAGTACACATCTGCAATAATGGTCATCTCTTTTGGTAAGAAGCTGTGATGAATCACACCGGCGCTAGACAACCAAACTTCAACCAAAAATCACTTTTCTAGAGGCAAGTTTTCGTTTAGGGCATTGTTTAGGTGCTAACCCGGGATTCATCCAACTTGCTGATCGCTTGCGATTGTCAAACAGAATCCATATTACAACGTCTCGACGGCGAACTACGCGGTATCATTGAGTTCGTGGGGCACCCATTTGTTAGGCTTTTTTACCTGGCCAATTTGACGCTAATGGATCAATATTGTTTTGATGCTAACGCCGAAAGCTGCTGCCAATTCATCCGTAGATTATCATCAGCTTACACAATCGCTTTTATTTCTTCATTGCGAACCAAAGTTTTCGGACGATCACGGGGTTCATTTTGCAGGTCGAAATTTACAGAACGGAATCGGACAAACTAATAACAGGTGGTGCGTTCCTTCGTAGTATTCGCTCCGTAAACGTCGTTGATGTTGCGTGTCGCTTGACCTGCTGTACTGCCACGACGTTACTCATATTTCATAATTATTCGAATTTTTTACGTATCCATGATGACGAAAGATTCAAATGCGATGATAACATAACTCTAAACAAATTCCTAATTTTAAAAAGGAAATTAATTTGAAATAAGAATTCTTAGCCAAACCAAAAATTATTTTGATCTGAAATGGCTTATTGGCCATTATTCTGCAGTACTCTGCAGAACGAAAATATCATAGATCAAGACCAATTATTATTTTTGTTATATATATATATAATATATACATGTTATATCAGCTACGCCTTATTTGATATAAGTATTGTTAGTGTTAGATACTTTAAGCGTTGAATCGCGTTTGTCAGTATCATAATTTCAGCTTTTTGGCTCACAGTAAGCCAATTAAAGGTCCAGTTATTAGTCTTCCCAATAAAACAAAAAGTCATCTAAATCCACATAAGAGAGTCAAGTGTCTGTTTCCAATGGCGAAATAACTGCTGCTCTAGCTCAAGGAGTTATTTGCACGACCTTAAGACATGTATTTGTAACATTGTGTCTGTCTGTCTGCATGTTGAAATGGCTTTTACGAAGGGATAGAGAACAGCCAGGAGTAATCTAGGCTATATTTTAACCGAAATACTTGGATATTTAAATAAATATAAAATAAATGAAATCCGATTATCTTAAATTTAACCTATCCAGGCGCAGGCCGCGGCGGGTCGCAAGACACGAATGAAATAACTTATCATAAAGACAAACGAACATAATTTACAAACATGCGCAAAAAAAAATATAATTGTGAGTATTTCAAAGTCCCTTCCATAATCAATTGCACTATCATTACCATCTATCCTCGTCACCACTTCATCCATACCAACTGAATGTGGAGGTATTTGAAATTAATTTCTCTTCTTTAAAGTAATGAATTACTGCAAAGTGACGCCTGTTTCTATTTTTTTTTTATTTTAAACAAATTCTCGCTCACTATTAACATTACTCCCGATTACTATTCCAATAAAGTTGTTTACAGCATGTGACAAACGAGCACACAGTAGCACCTGATGGCAAGTGGATACTATGGCCCACAGACATCTAATCTATCCTCGACGATTTCGATCGAAAATTCAGATGCATTGTCCCCCTGAGGACTAAGATCTCTGCTATTCTACGCCGGTACTCTGTGAGAGCGTGGTCCTTCCTCGGTCGAGTAGACCCGTTGTTATTACAACCATAATAAATATAGCTGCAGTTCGACATTACGAAAATTTTAAAATGCTTGTAGAGATAGTTCACAACAGTAGACAAATGCCGGATAATAAATAAATCAAGTCTTTTCGATTTTACCCTCCGCATCTTAAACCCTCTTAAATATAATTTCGGTCGGTTCGGTAAATCTAATTTCGGTCACGGCGACTAGTCTTCAACAGAGACTAGCCATCTGCTTAGGACAGGGTTATAGTGCCCAAGTGTATGCGCAAGCACGAGGCACGGGGGTGAATGAAACATTGCCAAATTATTGACGCCATGCTGGTACTGAGAATTTCTTGACAGAAAAACCTAATAATTGATTTTGTGCCGACCTGAGATTTGAACCCGGGACCTCATGATCAGTAATTGCGTATACGATCACTAGACTAACAAGGCATTCAGTTTGTATTCTCGACGTATACATTATGATTAATTTATGTGTTTTCAAATATTATGTTACTTCACTATATCACTTGTTTTTAACTTACGAGCCGTATCAAGGCAAGCAATGTTGCTCGCCCGTATTTCGTCTAATCGCAAATTCTTTTCGCGATTAAATTCAACACACAGAAATACTAATAGCAATAATCAAACGCGTATAGAATAATTTGCTACGTGTCACGATGAATTGGGCAACTTCAAGGTTGAAATTAAAAATGTGTGTTATGCCAGTAATTGTATACCGTGTAGTGGCGGGGTGAGAATGTCCTGTTTCGTCCCGTGGCTGTCTGAATCTTAACTGAGGATGCATGTGGATTTCTATGAGCCACAGCATCCATCATCAGGTGGACTGTGTGCCCATTTGTCAACCTTACTCTAACTCTAAAAAAACCGGAGTAAGTATTATGTCTGGTACACTACAAGATAGTTATACCGCCACCTTTAGGAGTCAACACGATCCTCCGGCTATTTATGTAAATATTCTGTATGTAGTCCTTTAAAAAAACGAGCTTAAATTCTCGGACATAAGATCCACGAGTCGGATTCAGCAAAGCATGCGTTAAATCACGCAGACAAGCAATTAAGTAGATGATAAACACCTGCAGAGAACGATAGCTCGTATCTCGTGATCGATTAGGCGGGGACAAATTCTTTCATAGGGTCACTACTCAAAGAAGCGATATGATTTGTTGTTATCTTTGAGGAAAATATTGAAGACTTCCACCGTAATGATGGTGGCTCTACTCACGTTACGTTGCAATTATAGTATGGTCGCAGCACGAATGAATCGGCCCGTCTGAGGGAGGACCATGCTTTCACAGAATACTAGCAGAAAATATCAGCTTAATGCTGCTGTGTTTTGTATGGCGACTATAGAAAATCGGAGAACCTTTTTACTGAAAACAAGGTATACCATGTTAGTACTCAGGGGTGACCAAACATCTGTCATCATGTGATCATGTGTCATCTGTGGCTCATAGATGTCTATAAGCCACAGTAGCACTTTACCATTAGGTGGGCTGTACGCTCGTTAGTCACATTTATTCTAAAAAAATTGTTTATACGATAAGCGTTAACAAATTGAAAATCAATTGTACTTCCTGGACGACCTAAACAAGACGCTTCTATAACATGTTAAAAACAAAGATATCGGCCGCATCAGTTGATTTATATAATGTTTCTTTAACTCGGCTAATCACCCAGTCTAAGACATGATGGAATATAGTTTTTCTGAAAATTCGCTTTTTCTTGTAAGTTTTTGTTGATCAAACAT